CTGTAATCCCGGCTACTTGGAAGGCTGAGGCGGGAGGATCGCCGGAGCCCAGCAGGTCGAGGTTGCGGTGGCCGGAAGCGTCCACTGCACTCCAGTCTGGGCGACAGAGTGAGACTCCAACTCAATAAAAAATAAAAAAATAAAAATAAATAAACTTACTTAATAAATTTATTATGCTTACTGACATTTCATCAAATCTAAGATATCTTCTTGTATGTATGTTGAGCTGGTGTTAATTGCTTAAAATTTTGGAATTGTTATCTTCTTGAATAATTTCTTCTGTGTTTCTGTAGGACCTGTTTTATGGGGAGAGGGGACAAAAAACCTGAAATTTATTTATTAAAAATTGTGTGCTTATTCTCACGTTTAAACTTCAGTCACCTTCAAAGTGCTCTTCATTTGATACAGTGTATCTATTGAGACACCTTTTTCCACTGCTCCAAGCAGTTTTTGAACTCTTCGATTTTGATGCCTTTTAGTGCTTATGCCATTTTTTGTTTCACTTCTTCCCATGGGCAAAACATTTCTCTTTGTGAATTTTTTTCATCCAGGGAAACAAAAATCGTCGCTCAGGGTGAGATTAGGTGAATTGGGAGGGTAGGGCATTGGGATCATACTGTTTTTGGTCAAAAGCTGCTGAACATAGTGTGGTATGAACAAGTGTACTTGTAAATATCACTTATCATGAAATGGGCAAACACATTGAAAGAATCTCCAAAAAAATTTCACTGAAGCCAATTGCAGCCTCTCATAACAATGCTAGCTGTTATACTGATGCCAGTGGGTTCCTATAACACCTAGAGAGGGAACCCTCTACTACAAGGGTCTTGCCCTCCAAAAATAATTCTGGGTTTTTTTGGGTCTACCTCATATATCTAATACCTAATACTACCCATTAAACTATGATAAAATACCTTAAACATAGTCTTACATATGGAATTTATAGAACACTCAATTGTTTTAGTTGTATCATAATAAGTTTTTTTTCACTAATATCACATTTATGCCCCGCTGATCTCTTTTGGGCTGGTTAATTTTTCTACATACTCAGTAATTTTTCTTATCAGTGCCAAAGCATTATTTATAACTTTTAAGCTTTATGTTTTGTAATATCAGCTATGTGCATAACTCAATTTAAGTGAAGACAAATGAACAAATAGGATAGAGTGTGCATGCACAGGCAATGATAGCTATGTCATAACTGCTATGTGCTCAACAGGAACTGTAATATGTCATCAGTTATAAGATGTGTTCAGATTTCAGAGATGTTAGAATGTGAAGAAAATCATTTGCTAAAATGGATTTACTCAGGTTTTCAATTTGTTTTATTATCATATTTTGTGTTTTTTATTCACTCTAGCATTTCTGTGTTTTTTTTTTTTTTGAGTTGGAGTCTCACTCTGTCGCCCAGACTGGAGTGCAGTGGCTGCTCCTGGCCAC